GATTACAAAGGGTACAATGTCATTTAGTACAAAACCACCATTGTAATCAAGCCTAGCTTCGGTATTTGCTTCCTCTCTGCTGTTCGTGCCTTGAGCCGATGATTCAGTATCGGATTCAGCATCGTACAAAAAGGAGTCAGTAAAGTATTTTTTTAATCCTTTAAACAGTTGTTTATCCGCGACCACCGTCCTTATCTCATTATTAGTGTCTACATATTTTAGATATTGATGGAGAGTGGAGGGGACGATAAGATTACCATGTATACAGGGTCATCCTAATAGTAGATTATAGGAGGTTTCTGCGTCAATCACGTAGCACGTGACTTTGGACTTTAAATCCCCAAGTTGGCGTTTTACCCGGATTTTACCCAATGGCATAGACCCACTGGTATTGAATCCATAGATGATGGTGACTGTCGAGGATAATCTGCTTACGGGGATCCTAAGATTGTACATTAGTTGGAGTGGCATGATGCTAACAGTGGAACCCAGATCGACTTGGATCCGGTTGACGACGCTAGAGCTAATAGACCCGATAAAGTATAAGGGCCTATCATTCTTTGAGTTTCTAAGTTGCATATCATCTTTGGTGAACATTATACAAGGGAATTGCTTAGCCGTCAGATCACAATGTTAAGCTGAGAGTTCTGGATGTTTAGGAGCTAGTTTGATGTGAGTGAGAAACACGTCGGCATCGGCCAGGGCTTCTTGCAAGGCTTCCCTCGTGTATTTATAGAGACACAACAATTCATACAAAGTTATTCTTACTGGGATGTTGGCTAGCTGAGTCATAACGTTAAAGCGGTATGGTGTGCTTAAATTCCTCGGTTTATCTCCCAATCGGGCGATTAAATCGAGACTGCTTCGGGTTCTGGACCTCCTGGTGTTGGGGTTCTTTTCCTTTTTGTTTACTAGCCGGTTGTTGTTGAGATTTTGCTACGGGTGAAGGGGCAGTTATAGCCACCCCAGCTCAGCCAATATCTTAGAATTTGGGTCAGAGGCTTTAGAATACTTGTAGTGGTACTCGTTTCCACCCCTAGTAGCGAACACGTCTTGTTCGTCCTCAGAAAGTGATAAAGTAAGGATACTTTCATCATCTTTTTCAGGTATTGCCGTGGCGGGACAGCAGGATTTTCCCTTGTTTTTGGACTTCTTCTTAGATGAGGAACCTACCCATTGCTCATTATTGAGCAAATCTGGATGGACCCAAACAATTTCACCGTTAGAGGTTGTGTGCTGCACAAGTCCCTTTTGTCGTTGGACTGCTTCGGGTTCTGGACCTCCTGGTGTTGGGGTTCTTTTCCTTTTTGTTTACTAGCCGGTTGTTGTTGAGATTTTGCTACGGGTGAAGGGGCAGTTATAGCCACCCCAGCTCAGCCAATATCTTAGAATTTGGGTCAGAGGCTTTAGAATACTTGTAGTGGTACTCGTTTCCACCCCTAGTAGCGAACACGTCTTGTTCGTCCTCAGAAAGTGATAAAGTAAGGATACTTTCATCATCTTTTTCAGGTATTGCCGTGGCGGGACAGCAGGATTTTCCCTTGTTTTTGGACTTCTTCTTAGATGAGGAACCTACCCATTGCTCATTATTGAGCAAATCTGGATGGACCCAAACAATTTCACCGTTAGAGGTTGTGTGCTGCACAAGTCCCTTTTGTCGTTGTCCATTGAGATCATCATTAATAGTTTTCACCTTCACTTTTGGTACAGGCTCTGGTTGGAACCATGACATAGGAACCGATCCAACGCTGATAGAAACCGTGTTTGTGCCCACTTTCTTTTCCTTTGGCTGTTTTGGAGTTATAATACCCACATCGATTAGGGCTTGAATTTTGTCTTTGAGAGCGTAACACGTCTTTGTGGGATGATGTACTGTTCTGTGGAACATACAGTATCGCAGATCCATAGTTTTGTTAGCTCCCTCATGATTAGTGATTGGGGGTAGCTTAATTTTATCGTTCTCCAATAAGTATTTAAAAATACCAGGAACCTCATCTTCCTTGAAAGAATATTCTTTTGGGGATTTTTGCTCAGTAGTCTTATGTTGCCTTGGAGGCCGTTGTTACCGTTGGGGTGTTTGCTGGCATGGCGTTTATTGTTGCGGCTGCTGTTGGGGTTACAATTGGAATGTCTGATTTGCATCCGCTATATTTGCCTGCGACTTACCTTTACCACGGGGGATGAAGTTTTGTTTTGGGGTATTAGTGGCCTGCTGACCCCTTTCAGTTTTCTTCTTCTCAAGGAAGCATTCAGCTTGCTCCCATCGTACCTTCAACTCTTTCCATGATTTGGATGGTATCATGCCCATAACTTCTAATACGTCTAAGGAAAGGTTGTTGTGGAACGTTTGGAGAATAAATTCTTCCATGACCAGATCTCGATAGTTCATCACCTTACTCTGGAAACACTTAACGAAGTTCTCAACTAGTTCTCTGTCTTTCTACTTCTCATCAAAGAGTATTCCAATCGACACTTCAGTATCATCATCGAAGAAGTTGGCGAGAAACATAGTCTCCATATCATCCCAGCTATTGATACTTCCTGGCTTGAATTGGCGGTACTAATCAAAGATGGCTGCGCGAAGAGTTCTCACAAATGATCATACCATCAGAGGTTCATTGCCTGAAATGACCCCTAGGTGAGACTTGAAATAAATTGTGTTGGGTGGGTGAACCTTTTCCGTCGAATAGCATGAAGTTAATCAGGTTGAACTTTACCGGGTACAGAATTGATTCCCATTCCCCCGGATAAGGATGTGGAATACCAGTATTCTTTACCTCTTGAGCAGACATTAAAGCATTAATCTTGCTTTCGAGGTCTTTCATCTTGAGTCATTCACTCGCATCTTTCTTTGAATGATCCTGGGGAGAAATGACATAGTCGTCTTTTGCATTGTTATTACCTGAGGGACCATCCCCAGTATTGTTGTCAACAAGAGGGGCCTCGATGTGGATATTCTCGTCTCCTTCCAAAAATTATAACTTTTTGTTGCAATCAATAAAAGAATTTTTTTCCACTTAAAATTTTTCTTTTCTTCTCTTTGTTGAATGATGAAGATGGAGATGAAGAGCAATTTGAAGGTTTGCATTTCTTTTATTTTTCTCTTTTTTTAGTAATTTCTTTATTATTGCTTATTAGTTAGATTTACATTCATGCTTGTAGTGTAGATTTATTTTCTTGTCTTTTTATTTATTTTTGTATTTTAATTTGTAGAGTAGATTTATTTTCTTGCATTTAATTTTTGTAATTTATTTTGTAGTTTAGATTTTAATTCTTTATAGTTAGATTTATTTCTTGTTCATAGTTTAGATTTTTCTTTTCTTTTTAGTTTTGTAATTAGTTCTTTTTCTTCTTGCTTTTATTTCTTAATATGTAAAATTAATTCTTGTAAGAATCTTAGAATTGTATGAAACTAGTCTAATTTCCTTTATATTGTATGAATTATTCTCTTACACTTAAAAATATTCATGTTTAGGATAATCAACTAGAAAACTAATTGGTAGAAGAAGAATTTGATAATCTATGCTTATCTTAAACAGTTTGATAGGTTATGCTTATGAATTCTAGGATTACTATGTTATTGTTGTTCTTATCATGAATTGTAATTTTGACTTAGATGATAATTTAATAGGTTATAATTTCCTTAAATGGTTTGATAATCTATGCTTAATAAATCTAAATTAAAATATGATAAAAAGAGAATACTTTATATTTTATAATTAAGATTAGCTAGTGGATTCAATTTTAGATCTCTCTTATCTTTAATTGAATTCTTCATCTTTTGTTTTCTTGATTTTTCTCTTTTTATTCTTGCTTTTTATTTTAATCTTTGATTCTTTCTTCTCTCCTCTAAAATTTAATTTATTATCACTTGTATATATTCAAAACAATCACTCATCATATCTCTCTCCATAATCATACTTATTCTTTAATCCTATTTTTGTCACGCACAAAACATAAGAACCAATTCAAATAATCTCTTAAAATCACCTTCCTCGTGGGATCGATAACTTTTTATACTATAACTTGATCAATTGTGCACTTGTAATTTTGGCACATAATTATAGCGCATCAAAATTTTAGCGCCGTTACCGGGGAAGGTGCTAAAATAGGATTTTATTATTTTGGTTCTTTAACTTGTGTGTTTTCTTGTGAAGGATCCGCTTGTAGCTTGAAAATCTTGGATTGAAGATCAAGAACTTGGAGAATTGCTTTTAGGTAACTCTTCTTTCTAGCGTTTTCAATTCCACCATTTTTAGCTTCACAATTAGAGACAATTAGGATTAAAAAAATATTTTATTTTTGTTGATCATAATAAAATTCACCTTTCACTTCGACATTAGCTAACAAGATAATAAATTCAAACAAGAGCTCTTTTCTCACATTTGATTGTTGTTGACCATAATTAAAAAATAAGAATTTTTTTCATCCTTTTTAGTCGCTTTTAATTTCTAGAGTTGCATTTCATATAGTTAGTAGGAATTCACCAAGGCTGCGTTTGGGAACTAAGATTCAGATTTAGAAGCTTGATTTAAAATCAATGGATTTCAAATCTAGGATTTGAAATCCATGATTTAATAAAATTATTTGTTTGGATGTCATTACTAAAGGCAAGGATTTGAAATCAAAGATTTAAAATCTAATGTTTGGATATACTTTATTATACATGAATTTGGATTTGAAATAAACTTTGAGAAGTGATCCAAAATCAAAATTGATCTCTTCAGTAGAAATTATAATTTCACATGCAAACATCTTATCCTTCATGAACCAATATGAGAGAATACAAAAATAATAATGATGTCCAAAATATTCATTATTATGAGTCTGACATTTTTTTCATGGTTTGATCCAATACTAAATTGACCTTCGATCCCTAAAGAATAAAAATACTACTCCAATAACTAGTCATGATAAAAAGACTCAATGACACAATAGAGTTTAGCAAAAAATCCTCATAAGAAGCTCTAGGCTACACGATAAGCCTTCATTTAAAATACAACTTGCTATAGATAGTTGATACCCATGATTTGCTACAACAAGTAACCATGATTTGCTACAACAAGCCAAATTACTACAACATAAACTATTAAAAGAAACCATATGTAGAATCCTCTATTTATCCTTCAAGTCTTCTCCTCTTTTCTCTCCATTGTGTCCAACTTCATGTCTCGAAGAATTTATTGAGTCCTACATTACACAATTTAGCATCAATTAGTCAATGACACAAAAATCGACAAACAACATTACCTAATGAATTCAAACCATGCTAAAATCCAATCAATATGATCAGGATAGTTTTTAATGTTGAACAAATCATAATGACGAAAATTGATAAAGTTTAGAAACTTGAAGCAAGATGTAGAACACAAAATATGCATGCAGTGTACTAGTTTTATAGAAAAAATGCATGAGAAAAAGCATATGCTACTCAAGACAGCTAAACGACATATATCATAGCACTTGTCCAAAAAGAAATCCAAGAGAGAACTTACCTAAACAGGTTTAAAGATTTGACAAATCTCGTCGTCCAACAAGAAACTATCTCAATGCGTAGACTGCAACCTTTCATGAAGAAAACTGATTAATTTATCATCAGTCGTGTTTCCTTTTCTTCTTTTAATAATGCAAATGTAAAATAAGATTAGGCAAGGATGCACCATATAGAACTACCAAATAGATAAGATTCGGTGCTAATTGATATATGAGACATGTATTCTTAAGAGGAAAATAAAATTACCTCTAATAACAATAGTCATCTTGTGAATTTTTGAGTGATCTTCTCTATGCTTGGGATATCTATTAGCATTTTTTGACGCCTACATATATCATAGCACTTGCCTAAAAAGAAATCTAAAAGAGAACTTACCTGAACAAGTTCAAAGATTTGACGAGTCTTGTCGTCCAACAAGAAACTATCTCAATGCATAGACTAAAACCTTTCATGAAGAAAACTAATTAATTTATCATCAGTCCAGTTTCCTTTTCTTCTTTTAATAATGCAAATGTAAAATGAGATTAGGCAAGGATGTACCATATAGAACTACCAAATAGATAAGATTCGGTGCTAATTGATATATGAGACATGTATTCTTAAGAGGAAAATAAAATTACCTTAATAACAATAGTCATCATCCGATAAAGATTTGTATGCATATTTAGTTCTAATCTTCCACAGTAGTTGATTTTGGAAGTAAAATGAATAACTGCAGTTGATAGCTAGAGAAATAAAATTATTCACTTTGTAATTTTTACTAGACAGCCTACAGTGTGGTGCTAAGAGTGACCTTCCTCTTTCCAACAGCAGTAAAATAATGCACCACAGTGAAACTTGTCCCTCATTTATGTAAAATATTTACAGCTCCACTTCATCATCATTTCCAAAACAAAACAAAAACAAAACAAAACCAAAAAAAAAGGAAAGGAAAAGAATGTAGAAGGGGGAAAATATAGGAAAGGTTTTTATATAATTCACCAATGGTGAAAGCTCTCTTGGGCGATACGCTGGCAATCCATCCAAAAAAGAAAACATATGCGAATAAAATGTAAAAGCCTTCCTTCAGATCATAATAAACCCAATAAAAAAAGAAGTATAAAATAATAAAGAATCCTTAATTTGAAAAAGGGCATTAGCTGATGTTTTACTGATTTCGTTTCGTTAATTTAACATTCAGACCTATCTAATCAACAAAAAGGGGACCTGAGCACAAAAGTCGAAGTTCACGCAGAAATATTGAATTCAGACCTATCTAATCAACAAAAAGGGGACCTGAGCACAAAAGTCGAAGTTCACGCAGAAATATTGAATCCCTAACAAATCATGTTTTACTCTACCAGACGTTAATTTAACAAGACAATTGGATTAGAATCAGTAAATTTAAAGAAGCATGTTCAGAGAAACAATGGTGAAGCAACTAGTTACTGGTAAAATTCAATGGGAAAACTGTATAGAAAAAGATAATAGAGAATGACACACTAAGAAACATACTGGAAATACATAATAAGAGTAGAGAATCAAATTAAAATCCCTGAAGCCTATAATGTAAATTATCGTTAATAGAATAAGCTAGCAATAAGAAAATGAAGCAGGTAACTTATTCCACATTGTTCCTGAAAGTTTTCACAGGATCTTTAGTGAAGTCCTACCAATCACATGATAGATAATAAATTGGAGCAATACATGTTGAAATTAAAAGAGAACTTCAGAAAATCAACTGAAAAGCATTAGAGACAGTTTTAATTTTCTCAACCTCCAGCTCATAACAGGTCGAAAGCATGTATTTAGTAGTCAGAAAGTAATAACACAAATTTTACATGTAAGTGAGCTAGTAAGAGCTAGATTGTTATAAGCAAGAAATCATTTTTGGAGGTTGAGCACTAGAGGGAAGTAAAATTATAGTAGATGCATTAACCAACTCGTTGATTTGCAATGAAAATCTATGCGCCATCTAGAAGATAGGAATTGAGAAGCTGACAAAATAAGTTTTCCATGCAAATTTTACATGTGTTTTCTCTTTTACTCTTTGCCTGTTTAAGTGATTTGCAAGATTGTAAAGGGAAGTAACCTGTTACACAGGCACAATAATTAATCTAGTTTAGAGTTGCTTCATTTTAGCATGCTACTACATTCCCTAGACATTATATAAGACGAGAACAACTACTTCTTTAAGTTTTATATTACAGTTGACTCATGCATAGTTAGAAATTTTATAACGAGGTCACAGACTTGTTCCTTCAAACGTCTTCTGCAACTAATAGTAGTAAAATAGTGTACTATATCCTAGTCTCACTGCACACAAATGATAAACTGGGTCTTTTAGAGTAGCTTGATTACTGAGGTGAGGCACTTATTCATAATAATAATTGGAATGCAGTGAAATACCAGCAGTTCTATAATAACACATAGCATTCTTAAAATTCCAGCTTCGAACAAAGTTTAAACAGATCAAGGCATTCAAATTGTGAACATCTGACATGTCTTGAATTAGACAGGCTGACAGAATTTGCATAACTGCATCTAAGAATTATAAGCCACTTAAAGCAAGTGTTCTATCATATGAGCTATTTAGGCGCCAAATCACTTAAGTTTTCCTTTGAACCTACTACATGAACATCCATATGATTACATTACGGTATGTCACCCTAGAACCAAACCAATCTTTTCTTCTAAGTACTATTGTTTAAAATATACAATAATTAATTCCTCACACTTTCAGAATTTCCATCATTCTGTTGAAATTTTAGAAGACCCAAAGTATCAAATGTAAGCACATTCTTTGTAGGTACACAGGTTCTAGAACTAGAAGAAAGCCTCCTAGAGATGGAATGCCTCGATGATAACTTAATCAATAGTTCAGCAACCAAAGATCTAAAGAACGTCTCGATATGGATTTCGTCGATCATGATATATCCAACATTAACCTAAGAATTTTGCATATAGATTTCACCAGTTCAGGAAACCAAAACCCATAACAAGCAACAATTTACAATGTTGCAAAGTTCCAAATAATTAAGGAAGGGGGGGGGGGATGAACATTGAGCAACCCTAAAGACACTAGCACAGACTTCAGCGAATAAAAAAAGGAGAACCAGCATTATCCATCAAAATCACAGACCTGTCATTAATTTTGCTCCTCCGCCGTTGCTCCATTGTAGAATGCTTCGATCTCGGCATCAGCAACTGCTGCTTCTGCTCCGCATTCTTCCCATCAAATCTCACTATAAAATCCCCTTCATGAAAACAACAACAAAAAGGATCAGAAACAGAAACAACTCAAAAATCAACGATCAAATTATTACCTCTTTGAGAGGAACCCTCGCGTCTCAAGTACTCGTCCTCATCTTCTTCACTGGATCTCGAGAGAATCTCCATCCGTCGATTCTTCGAAGTCTACGAAACCCTAACCCTAGGTTCAGAGAGAGAGAGACGAGATGATGGTGGCCGACGGTAGGAGGGGGGGAGAGGAGAGGAGGAAGAGACTACCTGCGATGGAGAGAGATCGAAATAGAGATTGAGATTTTGAGTAGGAACATCGACACGAACGTGAGAGAGGAAAAAAAGAGGAGTCGGGGTTTTGAGGGGTTAGGATTATGGGGGTGAGGATTTGATAAATACCAACTACTGTGCTGTAATTTGAAATCTATAGTTTTGGGCTTTTCAAATTCACTCTATTAAATGACTTGATTTAAAATCATGATCCAAAGTTGAGCCCAAACATGATATTTGGAATTGGAATGTTCAGAATTTCAAATCCAAGCCCAAATCAGCATTCCCAAACACAGCCTTAAGGAATTTAGCCTATTTAGGTAGCAGAAGAAAACGGGGAGAGCATTTCAGTCATAGAATGACCAAATTGCAAGATCCCGTAAGGTTTGAGGAACTTATGAGCAACTTCAACGATTTGGAGGACAAAGTTTTATAGTATTAGTCAATTGAAAGTAGAACTAGGATAAAATTATACAGTGTTAATCAACTGAAACGGGATAAAAAGTAGCACTAGGATATTCGTAAAAATTTATCCCACTTTTGTCAATTTTATATAGAAAAGAGAGAGTTCTAATCTCTTAAATTGTCTCGAGTTTTAAGCTAGAACTACATGGTGAAAAACTACAATTTTTTATTTGCTTTTTATTTTTCATATTTTATTTCTCCATCATCTTCAAACTACACCATAAGATTATATCACATTTCTTCTTACCCTTCCCTTCTATTTAATGTTATTTTTCATTTGTTTATTTAATATTAGAATTGTATAATCAATTTAAATTTAAAAATTATAAAATTTATGTTTTACTAAAAATTAATTAAAATTGAGAAATGATGGAATGATGTCTAACAGATCAAAAAAGAAAGAGAAAAAAAAGAAAAAACTTTGTTTTTCAATTTATATTACAATAGTATTTCAAAAATGTCAAAAAACTACAATTTATTATTATAATAATATCTTATAGTTTATCCAATAGTTCTTCAAGATTAATTAGCACAAAAGTAAATAATTAATAATAATAAATAAGTTTTAAAATATATAATACTCTTATCATCAACATACATGATTTATATGATTATTGATCATTAAAATTTATCCTTAATTTCAAAAAATAAAAATAAAAAAGCTACAAATTATTATCATAATATCTTATAGTTTATTCAATGGTTATTCAAGATTAATTAGCACTAAAGTAAATAATTAATAATAATAAGAGGTTTTTGTTTTTAGGCCTAAAAGTTTACCCTACTAATTTATCTTTAAACTCAACCAATTTATTTTGTATCATTGAACCCATTACCTTTATGTATTTATCTCTAGACCTATATTTTAAAATACAATACATACATATGTGGCCTCTCCTTAAAATTTTTTAAAAATCCAATTAGACCATTCCCCAATCCCTCTTCCTTTGTTCCTACATATCTTTCATATGCCAACAGCCTTAATTTTTTTTTTTAAATCCAATTATACCCTTCCACAACCCCCCTTCTCTCTCTCTCTCTATTAATTCTCCTCTCTCTTCCTGATATGGTCAGTCACCATACCAAAATAGAAGTATTGGAAGAATACCTACATAAGCCCAAGCGAGCTATAGTCCAAATCAACTTAAGGGCTCAAAAGCCCAGTCAGAGCCAAGTCCCTCGATTAGACGAGCAGACAAGCCTTATTCCGATCGACAGGTCATCAGGACCGACTCGAAAAACGAGGTCAGTCGCCCCCTCGCAATTAAGACAACTCCTTGAGCAGACGACTCTACTACCAAGTCACCAAATCATAATGACGACTCACAGATCAACCCGCCTCGGCCAAAGGGATAAGAGCCGACCAAGATCACTTCAAACGTCAATCGACACAATAGTACAGTCTCATCAAGATCTCTATTCTGACAACCCTCGTCCCCCAGCCGCTTATTCGATTTACAAGTCATTTCCCAAAGAATTGCCATGATGCTTCTCTGTACACGAATGACTTCTCCACCAATTCCCAACCACCACTTGGATAGAAGGACGGCCACGCAGCCAACCTACCCTACACCCTGCCTACTCTGACAAACCCAGAGCACTGAGAAGACCTTTCTCCCCTGACACTGAATGATTTCCCTCCCAGTCGCCTGCCGACACCTGGAGGAAGAAAGATGACTCAGCAGCCTGCCTGTTCACCTTTCAAACCGCCTCCTGTGCATAGCCAACAAAAGCCGAGGGTCAAACTCCAAGAGGCAAGGGGGCTATAAAAAGGAGGTAAGGAAGGTAAGAGAAAGGGGGCTCTCTGCTTCTTCTTACACCTTAATTTTACTCCCCTTCGGATCTTTTTTATCCAAAATATTTTTATAATTCTAGAGGAAAAACCCCCTGCAAGGACCTCAATGGCCCAGGGGCCTCTAAACAAACCCTCCCCAAGTTCATCAACTGACTTGACCGTCAGAGGTACCACGGGGGAAACTAGCCCCGTATTCTTGCGATTCTTTCATGTACAGGCTATCAGTCCACCCGGCGTGCTCAGTATCGGGCATAAAATTGAAGGAGGAGTCGGCCCCAACATTCATGCTCTTCTTCTTCCCCACTGTCGCCAGGATCAAAGCTACATCCGATAGCGGGAAACCTCCATCGACTGTTTGTTTACGAGTATCAACACTTCCATTGTTCTCTTTTTGAACCCGTCAATTAATTCTCAACCACTCTTATGAAACCATCAATTAATTCTCAACTTTATTAATGCGTAGGGTATGGCTGCTTGATTCTGGTGGACCTTCTTAATGATTTAAGGCATAATGTTGCATTTTACTCAACTACTTAATTTATAATATTAATTTCTCATTTTATTCATGAGAAATATTTCACATTATTATTTATGAATTCATGAAAATTATTTCACATTTTATAGTTAGTTAAATTTGATTTAAGTTGACTATCTGTGATGAAATTTTGCACAAATTTATCTATTTTTTGTGACAAACATAGATGGATAATGAATTATATTGTACATTGATAGATTTTAGTAGAAATAATCACTTTTTAAAACTGAATGTCATTGGGAATAATCATTTCTTATATACGCAATTTTTTATGATGACAAGCTATATGTAGATGATGAAAATATGGTGATTCGACCACCAACAAAAAAAAATTCGTGAAAGACCAACAACAAAGTGCATTCCTTAGGATTGAATCCCCATAAAGAACTAAAGTGTAGTAGATGTTAGTAGTACGGTCACAAATGTAGAACATGTAGGCAACCTATTGCTAACTAAATTGGCTTTTTTATTCTAATGTTCGAAAAATGTAAGCAAAATATGGCAACCATGCATGAGTTTTTATGTTCTACTTTTGTGCAAGTGTCATACACAATATTTTATAAGATATGATTGTGTTTTATTTTATAAGATAAGACTGTATTTGTTAAGTGTTTGGTATGATTGTTTTGTTATGTTTGATATGATTATGGACTATCAGGGTAACCCTGGATGATTGTAAACTTTTAGGGTAATCCACTGCACTTTCAGAATAACCCGCTACACTTTTAGAATAACCCGCTATATTTTCATATATAATATCACTCTATATTTTCATAATAACCCTCTACACTTTCATAATATCACGCTATACTTTTAGGATATCACTCTATACTTTCAAATTATCTCATTATACTTTTAGAATAACCCACTATAGTTTCATACTATCACGCTATATTTTCATAATGACCTAGTATACTTTCATAATAACCTGCTATACTTTCATAATATCACGCTATACTTTCATTTTAACTGCTATATTTTCATAATAACACGCTATACTTTCACAATGTCATGCTATACTTTCATAATATTACACTATATTTTTATATTATCACGCTATACTTTCATAATTACCCGCTATACTTTCATAATAACCCGCTACACTTTCACAATATCACGTTATACTTTCATATTACCACACTATACTTTCATAATAATCTGCTATACTATTATATTATCATACTATACTTATTATATTTTCATAATATCGAGCTATACTTTCAGACTAATCCGCTATACTTTCATAGTATCACGCTAAACTTTTAGAATAATCCGTTATACTTTCATAATATCATGCTATACTTTTATAATATCACAATGTACTTCTATAATAACACTTTATACCTTCATAATAACACTGTTATACTTTCACAATATCACGCTATACTTTCATATTATCACACTATACTTTAATAATATCACGCTATTTTCAGAATAACCTGCTATACTTTCATAATATCATGCCATACTTTCATAGTATCACACTATACTTTCATAATAACCCATTATACTTACATATTACCACGCTATACTTGCTGTACTTTCATGACATCACGTTATACTTTCATATTATCATGTTATACTTTTATAATAACCCACTATACTTTCATAATATCATGTTATACTTTCAGAATAACCCCCTATACTTTCACAATATCATGTTATAATTTCATAATATCACGCTATATTTTTAGAATAACCCGCTATATTTTCCTAATCATATTATCACATTATACTTTCATAATAACCCGCAATACTTTCATATTATCACGCTATACTTTCTTAATATCATGATATACTTTCATATTATCACACTATACTTTCATAATAACCCACTATATTTTCATATCATCACGCAATACTTGCTATACTTTCATAATACCACGCTATACTTTTAGAATAACCTACTACACTTTCATAAATTCATACTATACTTTTAAAATAGCCTGCTATACTTTCATAATAACATGCTATACTTTTATAATATCACGCTACACTTTTAGAATAACCCCCTATGCTTTCATAATATCACACTACACTTTTATAATATCACACTATACTTTCATAAGGGACCACAATCATATTCAATACCATTGTCGACAAAAATACATCGATTACTATAAAATACATCCAAGACCACAAAATACATAAGAGAACACAAAGATTTCACCACATCTAAAACCATTATCCACACAAAATACGTCGATTACTATAAAATACATCCAAGATCACAAATGTACATCAAGCATGACATTATGCATAAGGATATAAAATAAAAAATGTATACCCGCCAAAAGTCAGTAGCATTGTCTATACAAAATACATCGAAA